TGTTCCTTTCTCAAAGCAATCGAACGCAGTAAAAATCAGTACACTATTGACGACTTTGATATTCATTATTGCAGTTCCCAATGTTGCTTTGTCTGTGATTACATTTCAAACAAAACAGTCACTTGGAGTGGGCGCTGGTATTTATCTACTTGTAGCATCAATTATATCTTTTATAACAATTATAATATTTGGATTCAAATTTTTATTTCTTCTGTTATCGCAAATGGCAATTATTACCAATAATTCGTTTCTTTCGGTCAATTGTATTTGTACAGATTTTTTTTTGAAAGTATTTTCATCAATTGGAGATTGGTTGGTTGCTTGTGTCAATTTCGAACGCGTATTAACCATTCTACTTGGTACTAAATTCAATAAAGCGACAAGTGAAAAAATTGCTAAAAGACTAATCCTTGGTATACATATATTTACTTTGGCAAGTTTTATGCATGATCCTTTTCATCGTCATTTACTTGACGACACAGAAGAACAAAGAACATGGTGTGTAATTCGCTATTCATCATCTGTAAAAATTTATGCTTCAATTGTCAATATTTTGCATTTTATTCTACCATTTTGCTTAAATTTCATTGCTGCTCTAGCGATTATTGTTTTAATAGCTCGACAAAAATCGAGAATTTGTGAAGAGCAGATATATAGAGAACACCTACGTAATCAACTTCATGAACATAAACATCGCTTATTAAGCTCCTTAGTTTTAGTTATAATTGCCATTCCACGTCTTATTATTTCATTTGTATCTACATGTATGAAATCAGTTCGAAATCCTTGGCTTTTTATCGCTGGTTACTTCATTTCATTTATTCCACCATTACTTATATTCGTAATCTTTGTTTTACCATCTGAATTTTATCGAAAACAATTTAATGATGCTACCGTTCGTATTAGAAAGACCATTCAAAATCGATTTCATCTTCAATAACTATCAAAATGGAAATGCAGCGATCCGCTACATTTTCAAAATTCAATAACAAACCTTGCAAACATAATGCTTCTGCTCTATTGTTTTTTGTCTGTGTTCAATTTTAACTTAATTTTAAGGAAATAAACAGTGCTTTTTATGTTTACATGAAATGCCTGTAATTTGTTTCGAGTCGGTGTGACTGTGGAAGGATGGCTGCCGAACACTCTTAATTGAGTGTACCAGTACATTGCTAATGTGCGGTCATAATTTGAAGAACCATATTAAAATGTGCCTTCCAGTATTCTTGCACAGTACCAATGAACATATTTTTGGAGTGTTTGATGTACATTTCAAATGAATTACACTATGAGGTGGGGTGTGGGGTGTGGTTGTGTGTATAAGTTACCACGATAACCTAATGTATTAGATTATTTCGAATGTTTCTAACTCAAATTCTTATCAAGCGACCTCAGTATCAGTTGAAATGATTCAAAGATTTTTTAGAAAGATAAGTGATTCGAAATGAATCTATCAAATAGCTAGCAAGTAGAGTCCTGCACGGGTACTACTTTTCGCACCCGGACCCGGCCCGGCTCATTTTTTTCAAACCCGGAATCCGACCGGACCCGGTCATCTTCCACCCGGAACCGAACCGGACCCGGATAGCTCTACCCGGTACCCGACCGGACCCGGCCCAGCCTTGAAATAGTCAGCACTTGATTGTTATTGTCAAAATTATATTCACTTTTCAAACTTTTATTTCACATGGCAAAATATACTATTATTTTAATTTCATCAAGTAACAATTTGTACCCGGACCACAGGTCCGGGTCCGATCGGGTGCCGGGTATCCGGCCCCGTTGCAGGACTCTATCCTAGAGTGTAAAATACTTTTACTTGTTAAGATGTCGTCGACTACCGGTCGGGTACCGGGTATGCTCAAATTCTGCACCCGACCCGGCATTTTTTTTTATACCCGGCACCCGAACCGACCCGGCAAATTTGTACCCGGACCACAGTTTCGGGTCCGGTCGGGTGCCGGGTACCCGATCCCGTTGCAGGACTCTACTAGCAAGACCGGTTTCGATAAGTGCTCTAAGAGTATCTTGTCAATTGCTTTTTGATTTTGATGATTTCTTCTACTGGAAGTATTATTTTTAGACGAAGAAGACAGCTCCTAATGTTATAATATCTGTAAAGACCTTTTTTCGTATAAATTTATCAGGGAGGTATAGTGGTGAAGTCTTAATATTTTGATTGACCTTTTGTGAGAGGAACGTGGTGTACAGTTGGTTGTTAGTTGAATTGTGCATTATCTTTAGTGCATCAGATATGAACGATAATTGTGGGTTTTAGAATAGGATGCGATGCATCTTGTTTAAGGTATGCTTTGGAAGTTTGGAATGATGAACCATACGCCATTTGATTGAATTAGTCAATGGGGATCACTTGCAATGATATTTTGTGTTGAATTAAAAAGTCGTGCAGTTTGTGTATGGCGCATATCTTTCAGCATATATGTATCTAGAAAAGATGATATGATTTTATATATAATAAGTAGTGGAAGGATGTTTTCAGTAGAAGCTGTGTAATTGGAAAAAGAAATATGTTTGAAATATAATATGGTACTTGTTCTTAGTGTTATATTTATATTACAGTATAAGGAAGGTGTAAAATAATCGACATATGGAAAGGAACCGTGGTAGGCATGAAAAATGAACAATAGATGAAGATAGATATCATTTATCACACGCATATGTTCATTAGAATAACAAAGCGCTAAGTTTTTCGAGAAAATGTCTGAGAAAATAGAGAAATTCAACATGTACACTATGGGTATCTATCGAGTCATTGCGCGATAGTTAATCATGGGGAAAGCAGTCGTTGATCGTTCGTTGTGCTGCTGGTGTAGTTGGTTGCAACTTGGTCAATAGATCACGTTTAGACTTTTTGTAAATGAGAAGTTTTTCTAAAGTACGATTCAAGATTGTACTATGAACGAGCCGTGTATTTCGTAGACGTGATCCTGGAAAATCATAGTACTTCTGCCAGATTTGACGATATCCTTTTTTGAAGTTCAATAATGGTCCAGTTTCAAAGGTATAATGTAAATAAATTAATTGATCTTTATGTTCGTATATGTTCTTCTTTCGAACTGAATAGCCATTACATTCCACTTTTGTTTTACTTTTCCTTCTGGTTGGTTTATGGAGTAATGTACTATGCAAATGTTGGTAAGTGTCAGAATCAAGTTCGGTCCACACCTTCATTGCATCATGTTTAACAAAAAAATTTTTGAACTGACGTTGTACAAGTTTGGTGGATAACCATTTACTAATAATATCATTTCGAAATTTAATCGTTCCATATCAAAATCTTCTACTGTGAAACAGATACGTGCTGCACGGACTAACATTGTGTAAATTATATTGGCATGAATATGTCTTGGATGATCTGATTCATAAGGTAGAATATAAAGTTCTGAACCTGATTTATGATAAATTGTGGTTCTTAATTGTCCATTCCGATTTTCCACATAAACATCAAGATACTATAATGATTGACTAATTGTAGTCGAAATTCGTATGTTTGGATCTCTTATGGTAGTTTCATTTAATAATTTCATAATATCTTCTTTTGATAAATTTGTTGTCGTAAATATATTATCAATATATCTACAAAATATTTATAGTGCATCTGTTTAGGAGAATATGGAAGTTGTTAAATGTAAATTTACCGACTGTAAATTTCATGATATTTACTTTGATGTTTAATTAATTTTTGTTCCCATTCTAACATATAAATATTGGCTAAGATCATAGTAGGGTGTGGGTGTGGGTGCCTGGGTGTGGGGTGTGAGTAGAGAGAGGAAGGATACGCACACCCACACCCACACCCACACCCTTCCTAATTAGAAAACAGTAATATCGAATGTGGAAAGAAACGAATGTATGTCGAGATACAATTGATCAGCAATATAACACATTTTCGACAAAGAAGAAATTTATCCACCTCTTTAGAAAAATTCGTAGGAGTTCCGACATACGTTTCTTATCGTACTTTTATTTATTTAAAAAATAAATGAATATGCAGTATAATGAAAGATACGATGTGTGTAACATAAAGTTGAGTTTGGGTTGGAGTAGGTGTGAGGTGTATGTGGCTATGGCACTACTTCGAGTGCACACTCAGTCCCATTCTCAGTCACAGCCACACTACCATCCACACAAACCCACACCCTATAAGGACGCAAGGCTAAATGGACTATGAAAATATCTGCGATAGCAGAGTATGAGGCCGTAAGGCTTCGATCTATACACATAATATCGCGTATCTGTATGTCTATTATCGGAAGAAAAGTTAAACATCTGAAGTCATACTTTAAAGGAGAAACCAGGCATGCAGTATGCACGGGTTCTCACTAGTTATTTATATTATCTCTGTCTCTCTCTCTCTCGTTCTCAAAACAAATACTCCTAATGATACATCTTACTTGTCAGCGGTGACAAATCATTTTCAACGTTATCTTTGTGCAAACTCTGGAAGATAAATTGGATTGCATCGCAACCTTTTGCAAGCACTTTTTTTTATTGTCATTTCATCAACAGACGCACATAGCTGTGAAATGTATCAACAATACGTTGTATTTGTCGCGAGCATTCTTCTGTTAGGATTCACTAGCACTCATGCAGCCAATTGGGCAGTAGTTGTGGCCGGCTCGAACGGTTATTACAACTACCGTCATCAAGCCGATACCTGCCATTCGTATCAAATTCTTCATAGTCACGGTATTCCCGATTCGAATATTGTTGTGTTTATGTATGATGATATTGCTAACAACCCACAGTAAGTGAAATATGTTCGCTACAGAATATATTTCTAAGCTATTATTCTGTTATTTAGAAATCCGACCAAAGGTATTATCATCAACCATCCTAATGGCAAAGATGTCTATCATGGAGTACCTAAGGACTACACGGGAAAAGTAGGATAATTCATATTGATTTGTCAACTTTATTTGCTATAATTTGTATTCAAAAAGAATGTAACGCCCCAAAATTTCATTAATGTACTGCTCGGCAACAAGGAAGAAATGCGTGGCATTGGTAGTGGAAAAGTCCTTGAAAGGTGAGCACTGTTAAAGCTAAGATGTAATTGGCTACGTTATTCGAGTATTGATCAGTCGAATCCAAAAAATGACCTCCATTACTTCTTCAAACGCAGCGATTAGTTGAGGTCGTTCTGGAAACTTTTTGGTCTAAAAATGATACGAAAAAAGAGACAGTTACTGGGAGAGTCTTATTTCAGGTGCCTTGTTTACTTTTTCATTGTAGACGCCTTTAAGACAAATAAAAACTGATTATTTTTTCTTTGTATTAAATTCATTATAATTCGATAAATTTTCTGGAGTTTATTTAAAGTAAAATTTACTAGTACAGTTTTTATTTATATGACAAATAATTAGAAACAGTCAACTTGAATGAATTTTCGATATATACCTGATTTTATGCACCATAAAATGTTAATTAAGACGCAATTGTTTTGTTCAAACGTCTGGACTGCTCATCATATTGTTTTTTCTATACGTTGAAAAAATTTTCAATGAAAACCAACAAAAGAAGACGTGTTTACATTGACCACTGAGACCTCTGCTTAAGCATGTCAACATATTTCCAAATAACGCTGCCTTTCGTTTTACTTCCTACACATACACATCGAAGCTTTATATTTGCTGCCGCAATGATTTCAAGAATAAAAAATCAGAAAATATTTGTTCGAACGTAAGAATAAAATTTGAATATCAAACAGGAGAAATCTCTTTTTCCGATCGTTCGGAAAATGTTTCGTTTGCATACAAATAGCTCAACAAAAAAAGAAACCTTTTGTTGAACTATTTTGTTGTCAAGATTCGAGATACAGTGATGGACAACATTTTTCATGTGATTTTCTTTTAAGTGTACCTCCATTAAAAGCTCCCTTCTGACATGCAGTGGTTGCGAAACTACAGTAATTGTCTGTAGTATATTCACACAAAAATTCAACTCAGAAAGCTGAATCGTAATTGAATTGAACTCCTAACAGTCGGTGATAATCACTTTTTTCGTACAATTTTTAAATCAAATTATTTTTCTAAACATTTTCAAAGAAAAATAATTTGATTTAAACATCGTGTAAAAAATTTTGTCTACCACTATATTCAAAACAATAACACTATCAAAAGCTGGCAGTCACTGGGTTTGAAAAACTGAAGTGATGCATCACAGTCGTGAATACAGTTGATGACAGATAATGAATTATAAAGATAATTAAAGTATCAATCAGTTGTATTCTTTAGAAAGATGTTAATATGTATTGATAGCAAGGGGAGAAACGACTAAGTTAAGTGACCTTTTTACTTTAAAATCATGAAAATCATGCGAAAATCGACTAAGTCATCTTAAAATAGGGACATTTGAAGGTATAGTATGCCAGCGACTAGATGAAATCATTTAAAGAAGTGAACTATATATTAAAATATTTTAAGAATCATGACAGATAGTTATACTTTATGACGCATCGACGTCATGTTTCTCTATTAGTCTTGAATGTGGGAGCAATCAGATACGTGTTAATAATCATAAAAATCTTGTTCTCGCAGATAAAGATCACTCTATATCTCATAAATTTTTCTCGTAAAATGTAGTTTTGTCAAGTCAAATTTTTATTCAAAGACATGAAAAGGTTACCGCCCAGATTGCTTTTAGAAAAATTTATGTTAGTAGATTTCTTCTTCGGAATGAATATGTACGTTTTTTCTGTAACAGTATTTTGCTTTAGAGGAGTTGTTGGTTATAAAGACTAATATGGATCTGTGTTTTAACACATTTACCACGATTCAGTTTTCTTAGAGAAAGTCTTCGAAATATCCATTCCTATCAACAGTCAACTTTTAATAAATACACGTAGGGACCTTTTCACTATCGTCCACGGATGATTCATCGTCCTCTTCTTCGTAGCATGACATATAAAGAGTCAGAGCGAAATTTCCAGTTTTTTCCTACTTGTTCTTATTTTTCTGCTTTTAAGTATAAAAGCAGCCGAACTTTCGGAATCGTTCACATGTCGTTCGAAGAAACCAATATAGAAGAGAGCGCTAGCACACTAAGTGAACTGAGTTTTTTGGATGATAATCTGGATAGAATGCATCTTGAATCTGGAAGCCCCGATGAGCCATTCGAGAAGCTGAAATCGAGCCCGAGACAAAAATCGGCAGGTCAAACGAAGCGGAAACTCGCTGATCACAAGTTCGAAGAAAAAGAAGGATCTGTTCGAGATGCTCGACGACGCTGTGCTGACTGCTACGATAAAATCAGAAAACAAGAATCAAGAGAAGCAAGTGTGGTGGCAGCAAAAAGAATAAAAACTTTCTGTTTTGATTGCCGCAAATTCTTTTATCTTGATTGTTTCAACGAAAAGCATTCCTCTATATAATAAAATGATTGAGGTATTCGCTAGAACGGAATATGTGAAGGACTCACTATTGCGCTTTTCTCAGGAAAGAAAAGGAAAAAATCGATTCTTGCATCATTTCTCTCATGGGAACATACCGTGAGCCACCGGTGGCTCATATCGTGGTGAATGTGTTAAAGTGACCCGATATGAGAAGTATATCCTATTTCTATTTCGATGAAAAACTAAAAGAATGCGCATTGCTGTAACACTTAACAGCATGCTTATTTATTTGTGCCATACAGCTGTTTTCTATGCACGAGATGTAGTGACTTCAAAGAGAATAAATCATCGATAAACAAGAAAACGAAGAAGAAAAGGTATTATTCACAGAATATGTAACTATACAAGGACAATCTTTGTTACAGACATTAGTTGAGTATAAAAGATACTAACCTTAGATATGAAAAACAAACTATAGACATAAAAAAGGATATTAATCACAGTGATATTTTTCAAAATTTTGTTACGTGATTATGAAGCTAATAGGACAAAAATCGTATATATTTATATATAAACAACAATACTTACTTGTTTCTTTTCATACATTAAATGAAAAAGTACCTGAAATGAGACTAAGTCTGGCTAGGTTTATCTACCTAAAATCCTTTGAAACTACAACGAATAATTTTCTTAGTGCACTTGAAACATTTACTACTATGGAAGAGAGCTAATTGCTTGTGTTTTAAAACCTAGGAGTGAGAAGGAATCAATTTTTCTAAGATGCACAATATATATTGCTCTCTGTATTATTAATTATTTGCACAATTTTTTTTCATAGTGGTCCCGATGACAATGTCTTCGTTTTTTTCACTGATCATGGTGCTGTTGGTAAGTTTTAATTTTGCTTAATCATTCTCTGTCTATTTTCTTCTCTTCTCTATATAGGACTTGTCGCTTTTCCAAATGGTGTAGTAAGTATAGAACTCTTGTTTTTTTCATTACAATAAATCAGACATTCAATGATTGTGCAATTGATATTTACAGCTCTATGCCAAAGATTTGAACGCAACTATTGCCAAGATGCATGCTCAACAAAAATATAAACAAGTCTGAAAAATTGATAGAATTTTTTCTTCTCATAATATTCTATTTTCCTTATGTACTGTAGATGGTAATCTACATTGAAGCATGCGAGTCTGGTTCCATGCTTGAAGGTCTCTTGCCTGCTAACATCAATGTCTATGGTACAACAGCCTCGAATGCCGAAGAACCATCGTATGCTTGCTATTATGATCAGAAACGTGGTACATACTTGGGTGATGTGTACTCAGTCGCTTGGATGGAAGATTCAGATGCTGAGCAGATCGATAAAGAAACCTTGTTCACTCAATTTCAGGTTGCCCAGAAGAATACCAACACTAGTCATGTTATGCAATACGGAGATCTTGTTAGTTAAATTATTGATATTTAATTTTGATAGATGTAATATTATCTATCTAGAATTTGGGAAAACATCACAATGTCAGTGAATTTCAAGGTGAAGGAGCACAATCAATGAAGTCGATTCGCAATCCTTTCATCGATCGTTACAATGACTTGCTCAAAGTGAGAAAAAGAAAAAAAATTAGATATTGTTTTCTAATTGTTCACGTACTTTACAGCGTGATGCAGTTGCTACTGTCGATGTTCGTGTGTCGACTGTTTCTCGTCGTTTGGCTAGCAGCGAGTCTGAGGTCGAAAAGGCAGCATTGGAACATGAACTTGTTAAATTGCTCAATGTAAGTCATGGATTTAAATTATTGCTCACTTCATCATTTCACTTTCAGGATCGAAGCACGATCTTTGACCATATCTCGAAGATCGCTTCAGCGGCATTGTCGACCAATCATGGCCATTTCTATGAAACGATCACACAAAAACGTATGAAACTCACTCAACACGATTGCTACAAGTCGGTCACACAACATATTCATGCTAAATGCTTCGATTTGCAGGTTTATCAAAATAATTGCATATTGGCTTTTTTAAGAGTTTTGTATTCTATTTTGTTCACTAGAACGAATTTGTTCTTAATAAACTTTGGATCATGGCTAATCTATGTGAAATCGGTTTGTACGATTATACTATTAATCAAGCAGTCGATCAAGTATGCACTAAGCGACTCAATTTTGATTATTAATTTATTTGATTATGGTGTCAATGACGACAACAACAACAAAATAAAAACAAACATTGACTCGTGTCTTTCATTCCTTGTAATCTTGTTCCTTTCTTCAAATAAAATCCACCGTATACCTAAAGATGAGAAGTGTTTACTGACACTGTGTGACTGTTGCGATTCTTCATCACGTTTTTTGATTCGATGCGTTGTATTGGTTTTCAGGAAACTGATGTTACTGCAAGGATATGTGTAAGAGGTTTCCGATGGCCGTAATGGATGTAGTTCTAGAGAAATTGAAAGTAGTTTCGGGAAAGGAAAGTATTTTTTACAGGTGTCTGGCTATTTAAATAACAATAGTTCGACTCAAAAGTCTAATTACAATTTGTCGAATATATCAGAAGCTGCACAACTCTCGTATCGATACACGCAAGTTAAAAGACGTCTGTGTAAAGTAAACTGGTTAATATATTACTTTATCATTGTCATATATAATTATAATTGAGGTAAATACATGTAAAAGAGAAAGATCATAGTTTAGTCAGTCTCAGCTTTTGAATAGCGTTATGTTGATATTGATCGATTTCATGGGAAAATATCTATTTGCAGATGACACTGGCACATGCAGTGGTAATATAGATATTTGGCAATGTTGTTGGAGATTGAATCTACATGTTATATAAAATATGTAACGGTTTGCCAAGTCTATAAAGACTAATATGCAGAATGATCTTGGTAACAAATGAGTCGTAGACGATCTCATTGGATAACTTTTGACAACACATGTATATTAACGTTGATTCGAGATTGTCGTTCACGAAAAATAACTGCTGTATAATTTGAACTGTCAGAGGACATGATGAATTTAATACAAATAGTTTCTTGAGTGGTTGACATGAATTGAATAATCACATTAACAGATAAACCAAGAACTAAAGTATCCATTTGTTTGACCGTCAATTGTTTTTTGTTGGAGGTAAGCGTATTGTTCTGAAGAGATAAAAGTGAATGTCGTGCCTCGCTACTGTGAACAAACATCGTTGAAGCTCAATTCAAGACTATGTTTTATCCATGATGACTGAGAATTATGATTGTAGGGTGTGAGTACGGGTGAGGATGAGGATGTGAGGTGTGGGTGTGGTGAATGTGGGTGTGGGGTGTGAATGCTTGTCATCTGTTCATCCACAGTGACACACCCGAGATCCAAATGCACGGCCACACCCACAACATGAATCGAGTCATTTTCTCCAAATTTTATCACTATATTAACATTGAATAATATTTCACGGAAATATACGTGTCCTTCTTTATTAAGCACATTTTACTCACTGTCATTGTTGTTTTAAAAGTATGTTGTCAATAAATGATGATGCATAGATAAAGAAAAAATTAAAAGATGCATGAGAAACGCATAAATTAGTCATTGCTCTACGACTAACAACAAAAAACGAAGCTATCGAAATGATATTGCATTACTTATTGTACTTATTTGCGTGAGTATGAAAGACAGAACTAACATAAATAGGTAGACCCAGTATCAGATTGGAACATCTCGTTTCTCTTATGATGGTCGTAAACATAACAAAATCTTTTAAAAAAAAATACCCTATACAAATTTGCTAATCTATTATAAATACGCAATTAACATTCTGTTTACTTTTTTTTAGGGTAATCGCAATAAATAATGGCAAGTGCATGGAAAATTTTGTAAAAATAAAAATAAGCTTCTTTTTCATTTGTCCTTTTTCAGGTCAATCTGAGCATAGACAATCGAGTGATTGTAAGTGTATTAAATTGACTATACGCCTGTTTCACTAAGTATTTTATAGTTCCTCATATCTCTACGTGCAGTCATAGTCAAACTTCTGTTAGAGTTGAATCGCATGCATGAAGCTTTAAAAAAAGAATAGAGAAATCACTATAAATGAAAACTTAATATTTATTAGATTATCCATCTTAACAATTGATACCTGAGACCGGTTTATACATTAAGATCTGTCACACATGTCTCGTAAAAAGAAATAAATTTAAATATATTTTGGTTGAAATTTTAGGTCCAGGCAATCTTAAATGGAATAAAAATGGCATAACAATCATGGACAATGGTTATGGTTCAGATCCAGATCAATTACAATATGCTGAAGGTTTGTTTATCTAGCTTAAAACACAAATTTTATATGTTGCTGATATTTCGAATAACCGTGTTCAAAAACGCTATCCAAATGGTAAAATCCAAATTGCCGCTGGTCAAGAAGTTGTCGATGAAGGATGTCCAAATGAAAATCACATTTTTTGAATTCCCTTCCTGTTCAGAAATACCCGTTTTTTGACTGACTCTCTCTACCTCTGGATACTCAATTTACAAAAATTTTTGAAAAGCTTATTTCTTCCAAAATTCTGTTCTTTTTCTATCAGATGACTGATAGAACTTCTATATACATGATTTCTCCTTGCAAAATGTGCCTCAGAATTCAGATACATTGCTCTTTTGAAAATACTGCTCAAAAATCAAATCTACTTGAGAATTTTCGGGGAAAATGCTAAAAAAAAGAAATAAAGAGATATCCCTAGGATGCATGAATTCGTAATTCAAGAAAATCAAGCAACGCAACTGATGGACCTAAGAGATTAGCGTCCAAGCTTTAATTACGATAGAATTCAAGGAAATTCTAGAAAATCAAGCAACTCCAGAGACTGAAAGGAATTCTAGAAATTCAAGGAATTCAATACAACATACAGAAGAAGACCTATCATCATCCTAAACTATGATGGAATTGTGAAAATTCAAGGAAATCCTAGACAATCAAGCAATTCAAGAGACTGAAAGCAATTGTAGAAATTCAAGGAATTCAAGAAACATACAGAACAAGACCAGTCATCATTTTAAACTATGATGGAATTGTGGAAATTCAAGGAAATTCTACGAAATCAAGCAATTCAAGAGACTGAAAGGAAATCTAGCAATTCAAGGAATTCAAGACACATACACAACAAAACCAGTCATCATCCTAAACTATGATGGAATTGTGGAGATGCAAGGAAATCAAGCAATTCAACAAACTGAAAGAAATTCTAGAAATTCAAGGAATTCAAGAAACATAGAGAAGAAGACCAGTCATAATTCTAGACTATGATGGAGTTGTGAAAATTCAAGGAAATCATGCCACTCAAGAATCGTAGTGCATCGGAGATAGTTGTCGAAATGCAAGGAACAGTATTAAATGTTCACTGGAAGGTCACTTATAAGACTTAGAACTGATTGATTTGAAGGATATCAGAGGTCTCCATCGATGCGGGGTGGGTAGGGTGTGGGTCGCCTGTAGTTGTGGTTGTGGGACGGTGTGGGTTATGATGGATATGAGTGATTATTATTGCCGATTGAGAAGAAGACACATGAACATATACCCACGCTCATCCACATAACCCAAAGATATATGGAAATGCTGAATTCCTTGAATTGCTTAAATTGCTTGAATTCTTTGATTTCCTTGATACTTCCAGGGAACATAATTCAAATATATACGGACATGCTGAGTTCCTTGAATTTCCTTGAATTCCTTAAATTGCTTAAATTGCTTGAATTCTTTGATTTCCTTGAATTTCATGATACTTGAAGGGGACCTAATTCACAGAAATATGGATATATGGAATTTGGGTGTGGGTGCGGGCGTGGCTGTGGGTGGGTGTGGGTGGGTGTGGGTGTGGGATGTGGGTACGGATTGGTATCCCTGATGAAAACAACACCCACACCCCACACCCACCCACCCAAATCAGTAAAGAAACAATTAATTACTTCATATTAATATAGAAAATATTTTGAGTCTCTGAAATTACTTAAGCAGTTTGATCCAGATATTTCTATATACTCACATATCTTCTACTGTTCATCCAAGAGAAGTTCCTTTAGTTGTTGATAAAGGTTCAATCAAAATCTTATCATTATTATCGATTGTATCATTTGAAGAATCATTACCATATGCATAATTCTACAGATATAGATGAATGTATATTGAATCAATAGAAAATTCAAAAGCATACTTAATTTGTTTCATTTCGTAAATGTTTAAAAAACTGGTCAACAGCAAGAATAAATATTTTATTTGGTAAATGGACACCGATTTGAGGTCTACGTAATGTTTGTAAAGATTTATATGGTTTATCAGAAAAATTTTCATTTGACTATAGGAGATAGTTCAATAATAATTACAAATGATAACAAAAAACGGTCTACCTTCACTGTCGACGGAAGGAGAACATTGTGATGTTTGAATGAATTAGTATGAGTGGCAGAAGTATTCTTTTGTGATTTCTGATTGATATTCATTTTGTTGATCTGTTTTAAAGCGCCAAATTCAAATCACTAAATTTATATTTTTAATCGATTACTTTTACTAGACTCTCGTGTACTACCAATTGCTTAATAGAGTTGATTGAAATAGA